CTACTCTATAATCTACTCTATAGTAATTATAGAGGTAGTAATAAGAGTTATAAATAGAGTTACTAATAGAGGAACTATATAAGGATACTTATTATTATTATATCTAGAGATCTTAGTTTAGTTCTTTATATTTAATATTAATAACTTACTTAAGTATAAGTTCACTAGTCTAATTTATTAGTTACTCTCTTATTATTAAGTATATATACCTAATAGGCCTTACTTTTATCTCTACTATTATTATTCTTATATTACCTTTAGATTATCCTTAACCTTCAGGGGTCATTGTATCATTGCATTATTAGGCTACCAGGGTGGTAGGCCTCAGGTAAGTATTAGATATAGTCTAGGGACTATATCATCTTGTTCCTAAAGTAGTTGACTAGCAGAGAACAGCAGAGACAGATCCCAGGGTGTGACAGACTACTCCTTATTAGGATTAAGGCTCACCCACTGAGTTCTATACTCTTTATTAAGTAGATTAATAGGTTAGTTAATTAGGGTCTAATCTATTATAGGAAAATCCTCTTAATCTAGCTCTCTATAGTTAGTCTTTTCTTTATTAGAACTAATAATCTAATCCTGGTTAGTCTTTTCTTTATTAAAACTAATTTTCTAATCTCTATTAGTAAGTATTATCTATTAGTGAATAGGCCCTCTAGGTATAATATTCTCCTAATCTATAAGACTATCTTTATTACTATTTAATAATTTCTAATTAGTAGCTATAAGTATATTTAAGTCTTTAATAAGCTAATTATTATTTATACTTCTATACTTAGTAGAGTCTTCCTCTTAAAGCTCCTTTTTAATCTTATTATTATTAAGAGTTATATATTCTTTAAATAATTTTTTTAGCTACTTATTACTCTTTTTCTTAACTATAATAGTACTAATTATATTATAAGCTTCTCTACTAGTATAGAACTCTGCTATTACCCTAAGCTATTTTATTTTATCCTACTAACCCTACCTAGGTTATTATCTATAGTCTTTTAATATATATCTAGATTTCCTATATTAGAAATATAACTTATTATATTATTACTATTCTCTTTCCTCCTTAGAAAGTGCTAATTATATTATATCTAACTCTATTAGATATAGCTTATAAGAATCTATATATCCTTAGCTCTATAGCTAAGCTAGCCTTCTATTATTTAGTTAATAATTTATAGTATACCTACTACTAAAGATATTCTAATTATTTTATTCCTTCCTATATATATAAAAATCTTATAGTTTATTATTAATCTTAACTACTTACTTAATTATTTTACTAAGCTTACTTAGTTACTCTATCTAAATTAACTTTTCTTAGATATCTAGCTTTAAGCCTTCTTTAAATTATATAATATTTATATCTTTATCCTAGTTTAAGTAGAATATAATCTATTAGAATTATAATATATATTCCCCTATAGATCCTATCTATTTAAGCTACTATAGCTATCTCTTAGTATTATACTCTTTATTAATATTACTAAAAGTATTCTTTAACTATTTCTTAAATATATTATAACTAGTAAATATTTTATCTATTTTATTAGCCTAGTTATTATTAGCATGTTCCTGATAATCCCTAATAAAAGGTTTAAACTAATTAAATACTAGTCTAGTTAGATAAGTTATAGTAAATAAGACCTTATCTACTTTATTAATAAGTTTCTCTTAGTTTATCTAGATATATATATCTAACTATATAAGAAATACTTATAACTTAGATTAACTTCTATTAAATAGTTCCAGTGGTCTAATCTTAATAGACTTAGCTATAAGTTAACCTTCTAATTAATAGATATACTCCTAGAGCTATTTAATCTAGTTATATAGATCTTCTATTATAATCTAAGATTATATAGCTACTTACTGCTATACTCTAGCCCTTCTAATATTTAAGCTAGTTAGGGTTTGTAGTGCATTTCCTACTATAATATTTAATATTAAGAGTTAGTTAAACTTCCTAAAGTAATTTATACTATATAATATTTAATTTATTATACCCTAGGATCTGTCTCTGCTATTCTCTACTAGTTAACTACTTTAGGAATAAGGTGATATAGTCCCTAGACTATATCCTATACTTGCCTAAGGCCTACCTACTATAGTAGCCTACTATATACTAACCTAGGTATATAGTAATATATAATATAATAATCTAACTAGGATCTAATATAATCTAAAGATATAATAATCTTACCTAAGATTAAGGATAATAAGAATAATAATAGTAGAGATAGAAGTAAGGCCTATTAAAGATATATTCTTAATAATAAGAGAGTAATTAATAAATTAGACTAATAAACTTATACTTAAGTAAGTTATCTTTATTAAATATAAAGAACTAAACTAAGATCTCTAGATATAGTAGTAATAAATATTCTTATATAGTTCCTCTATTTTAGTCTATATCCTAAGACTCCTATAAGGTCCTATTATAGATTATTTATCTAAGGTCTATAGTAGACCTATTATCCTATAGTCCCTTAGGGACTATTACTATCCTTAGTATTTAGGACTATAGGTCACATGATCTAGCTACCCTTTATTCTTATACTAGTAGTATATTAGACTGTGCCGCCCTCCTCATAAGCCTTATCTAACCATTCCATGTTGACTGCAGGTGTTCCGTAACATAAGGCTATTAAGGGATATTAGATCTATAAGATTAAGATTAGTACTAATAATAAGATTATCTAATTTAAGATAAGATAGATTACTAAAGGCTATATCTAAATACCTAGAGTAGACTTTAACTAGATATTTTCTCCTATTATAAAGCTAACTATTATCTATTTATTCTTCATACTTATAGCTATCTTAGGCTACTATTATATTAAGGTAGATATTAAGCTTACTTTCCTATAGGGTAAATTCTTTAATAGTAAAGTTATCTATATAAAGTAGCTACTAGATTTTAATAATAAATCTAGCTATATATATAGACTATTACTTCCTTTATATAGATTAAAGTAGTCTATATATGCCTGGTATCTTATCTTCTATAGTAAAGTTAGTAAGATTAGATTATAGCTATCTAAGATTAATAAATACCTCTTTTTTAATACTTATAGTATGCTCCTTATCTTATATATTAATAATATAGAGATTGCCAGACCTTCTAAGTAGATTACTAAGAGGATATATAAGGCTATTAGTAAACTATTTAATATTTTACTTATTAGCCTAGCTACCTATTATCTAGGTATAAAGATAGACCTAGATATTAAGAAAAGATAGATTAAGCTATCTTAATATACTTACCTTTAATATCTTATTAATATATTTAATCTATATTTAGTTAAAACTATAGTAATACCTATAAAAGAAGGTGTTTAGCTAGTTAAATTAGATAAGTCTATTAAATATAATCTTAAACTTAAAGAGAGATATAGAGTAGGAGTTAGCTTAGTTATATATCTAATATTATAGACTAGGCTAGATACTGCCTTTACTATTAGGAAGCTAGCTAGATATACTATAAATCCTAATAAATTATATTTTAAGTATCTTATTTATCTTATTTAATTCTTTTATTAGACCCTAGATATTAGAATTATCTATAAGCCTTATAATTAAAAGATATTATATATAAGCTAGGTATTATTATTAGCTATATTAATATAGATTATATAGGATATATTAATATATACTATTTAACTACTAGATACATCTTTATATTTAGTAATAGGCCTATCTTATAGACTTTTAAGCTATAATTAGTCATCTCTTTATCTATATATAAGGCTAAATATATTACTATTATTTATATTATAAAGAAAGCTATCTAACTTATCTATCTCCTTAAAGATATTAGCTTTAATAATATATACCTTATATAGATTAATACTAATAGCTAGCCTACTATAGACCTAACCTATAATACTTAATTCCATGCTTATAGTAAGCATATTAATATTAATTATTATTAGATTAGAGATATAATAATTAAGAAGTAGGTCTTCCTACAGCATCTTTTAATAGATAAGATAATTATAGATTTTATAATAAAGCTGCTTAGTTATCTAAAGTTTAATTAATTCTTTAAGGCACTAGGCTTAGCCTAGCAGAGTACTATAAATAATATATCTTAATACTATAATTATAGATTAACTACCTAATTAGGAAGTGGCTATAACCTTATTAATTAAATCTAGGGGTGTATGGCCATACTTAGTATAGTAGAGATCTAATTATATAATCTTACTTAGTAGATAGCTCCTTCCACTATATAATAGTAAACATAGATTTACATACATAATAAATTAATGAAATATCTTCATATTCTGAACCTCTCTCTGCTCATTCTACAAAAACAGGGACTTGTGCACTGGATCTCTTTGACGAGAAAGATGAATATATAATATAGCTATTATCAATTTGTCATGCTCATGCAGTTTGACTTCCAGGAACCTGCTTCATATTCCAAACTTCAAACATATAAGCCTTGAGCAGCTCAAAGTACGGATTAATAAAGCCTTGCTGGAGGTTCATAGTATGCCCAAGGCTGAGATTCTATCTCTTCCCCAGAGGTTAGCGGCACAACTGCTGCAAGATGAATGGATTCAGCTTTTAAATCTCGGTACGTGCTATCACCCCCTACCACTCCACTAGGACTATCATCCTCCAGGGATTATCTACAAGAGGACTCTTTGCCTCAAAGCTTGTTTTCAAAGGGCTTTCGCGGAACCATCCGATCAGGTCGACCTTCTCAGGAAGCCGAGTCATGCAAGGCTATGTCTGACTGTACTCAGCCCCCAACAGAAAAGTCAAAATAGGGCTAAGGGAAGATCGTAATCTCTCTCGCACAAGATGGGAATCTCATTGGGCTTATTAAGATACTAACGTATGATGATGTCTCTAGCGCCCGTCAGCCTTCTCACAGCCTCCCACGCAAAACAAGCCTGCCAAGTCCCGATCCCATATCTCTGACCCATTTCAACTTGAACTTTTCTACTCTATGAAATCTCAAGACTCAATATTTGTGACGAGTTGTCGCAATGGCATACAAATTACTAGTTACATTCATAATACCCCTAGTCCCCGCAACAGCAACATGCTACTGGCCCGACGGCAGCGTTGCAAAGACCAACACCCCCTGCTCCTCGGGCCCTAATGCCTCCTGCTGCGGTAGTCACAACATCTGCCTGTCCAATAATCTCTGCCTTGATGCCCTCGTGCAACCATACGTACTCTCCCGAGGCGGCTGTACAGATCCAAACTGGGAGTCCGACGAATGCCCTTCTGTTTGTCGTAGGTCATACCTCCTCAAGCTCCAGAGACACACTAACAATAGATAGGAAATGTGTCAACCAGTTCAGCCGTATCGCTAGTCACCCTGGGAAAGGGCTCAAACGGCGCTGTGTCGTACTGCTGCGGCGTGCCCGTCAGCAACGGGCGTGATGTTGTGTGTGGCGACGGGCACAGCGTTCAGGTCACAGACGGAGAAATCATTGCTGGATACGCAGCTTTGGCAAACGTGTCCTCGCTGGATGGTGGAAACAGTTCTGCCTCGTCAACCTCCAGCAATTCAAGTGCGGATACGTCAACACACTCGTCGCATGAGGTGGCGGTTGGTGTGGGAGTCGGGGTGCCATTGGCGGTCATTGCACTGGCCTCGATTGTCTGGGCTATATGGGAGAGGAGGACGCGAATGCAGCATGTTAAAGACGCAATGGCGTCGGCTACGATGAACGGCGGCCAAGTTCATCCATATGCAGAAAAGTACCCAGGTGTCGGTGTTCCGCCGCACCATCCAGCAGAGTTGACAGCCGAGTCTCAGACGCATGAATTACAGTCGTGATAGTGAAAAGAATCAATGGTAATATTGCTGTTAAAAGGATGAAATTATGACCCTTTATAGAGATTACTTGTTTGTCCATGTCTGTTCCAGGGCGGTTATGTGGATGCCTCCTAGTATACCAGGCTTTTAGGCCGAAAAGATGCACCTAAATAGTACGTGTACGTATTTTTATCCAAGGAAATCTGCTCTCTTTGCTCGATTGTTCAGATCCTCTCGGCGTTCCAATAGCTTTAATCACTGCAGTTAAAATCTTCTATAGACGTAGCAGCCTCGACGCTAGCTACACACACTCCATCGTTGCTACTTGTCAGTAAATACGTTGACTTCAAATATAAATCTTAACAGCAGGAAGTAGAGCTCAGCTAGTAACTGCTACTTATGACCATTTCCTGTCGAATTCTGGGAAATGTTTACTGTAACATATCAAGCCACAGCCCATTGTCAGGAGTCTGTTTGATGCCTCAGGCAGCTAGTTGCTCTACCTCGGCAAGGGATTTCCACCCCGACACAATTACAACAGCACATCCACTCGGCAGCCAACCTTCTGGGCCTCATACATGGGCTGTATGCTCTTCTAACATGTCCGGCCGTCGTAATCGTTCTGCAGTTGCATGCCAAACATGTCGTCGACGGAAAGTGCGGTGCACCGTTACTGTAACCGGCATTCCCTGCATCAATTGTTCCCAGGATGGAATGGAGTGCACAGTCGCGCAACGACGAGGGACGTAGGTACATCCTTATCGAAATGGAACGAAACAATACAGCATACCAAAGAGCTAGTCCTGATTGTTATAGGCAGCAGACAAGAAATCAGCCCCTGCGCGAGATCCGCGCGGTGCCTCATCCGAGGTCCAGCCCCAAGCAGAACGACAGGACATCCCGAGTCGAATCCGGTGAGACTGTCCGCAGCCACACCGTTTCAAATCTGCCCAGAAACGTGTCTCAGTCCGGACGAGCTGTTTCGGAGCCAACTGCTGCGACAGGGACGACGACCCCGTATTCCGAGCAAAGCCGGATCGAAGACGAAGAGCGCAGTGCCGCTGACTTTGCCACGGCTTCGCTGGCGCCTCGGGATGCCGAAGCAAATGATATGCCTATATACACTGGTATGCTTGCATGACAGAATGTGTACGAAAACAGCTAACTGTAGTAGGCGAATCTCTGGGGTTTTCTGCGGTTTTGGATGTGCTCGCCACACAGGCTGTCCCCAGACACGTCTTCCGGCCATCGTCGCATCCTAGTCTTACCGCTCAGGATGTCGAGTATCTGAAGTTTAAAGGATGCTTGACATTGCCATCCAGCGACATATGTCGCGAGCTGCTCCGTGCCTATTTCCACCACGTGCATCCTATTCTACCGGTGGTGGATGCTGCGCAGGTGTTGAAGTTTGAGCAGCAGCATGACCGACCAGCCGAATGGAACTTGCTACTCTTGTGGAGTATTTTCTTCGTGGCAGTCAATGTCAGTACCTCATCACTAAAATCATATCATATCGCTAACTAATAAGTTTATTCCTGCCGAGACTTGCACAGTCGCAGGATACTCTTCCCGGAAAGAGATGAGGGAAGCCATGTACTCCCGGGCAAAGGTACGCTCTACAAAGGGATTCCGGCTTCTGGTACTTACGACCGACAGTGTATGTATAACAATGGCGGGGACGACAAAATCACGCAGATGCAATCCGCCCTGCTGCTCGGATTCTGGCACTCGGAGATGAACAACCACGCCCAGCCCTGGTACTGGACAGGCATTGCAATCAACCTCGGCCAGATCATGGGTCTCCATCGTGATCCCGACGCAATCAGATTCAATCCAGCCATCAGCGGTCGTCGACGAGCTTTATGGCGGCGTCTATGGTGGTCCTGTTTCTTTCGAGACCGCTGGCTGAGTCTCACACTCGGACGTCCGTTGAGGATCAACCTGCTCGATTGTGATCTTCCGATGCCTTCACCCGCGGATGTTCTGAGTGACTTGTCCGAGGTGTCGCCATCGGTGGCAAGCCTGTTCATCCCGGGGGACCTGGCCCAGTTGAGCGAGTATTGGATTCTCCTGCTGCGGCTATCCAAGATCCTGGGGGATGCTCTGACCCTGAGCTATCAGCCGAAAAGACCAAATCCTACTATTGAGCAAGTTGAAGCTATAGAGTCCGAGCTGCTGACTCTCGAGATTCCGCACGAATGTGGCTCTAAGCAGAGCGAGTGGGCACGGTTTGCTGTTTACCACTTGCAGTTACATTATCAGTATGTTAACCTCTCACACTCGTTTCTCGCAACTGACACGAAAAGAGCGTTCCTGATTACATTCTACCGTCCTTTTACAAAACGGCTCCCGGAAGGTGTGCCTTCAGTCAATCAGACAACATATCAGTCGGCAATCCGTGCCAAAGTAGACGCTGCTGCACTGCAGACGAACACCATCCTCGACGCTTTGGCCCGTGAGAAACTGCTCAACTTTGCCGGCCCAATGACGTAGGTTTCCTCTCTACATTTCCTCTCTACCATGCAATCCTGTCTCTAACCAGATGCAGTCCACCCCTCCTCGTCCCAGCCATGCACATCCACCTGCTCAACTGCAAGTCGGACGATCCTCTCACGCGGCAGCTCAGTCTCAACAAACTCGACTTTTGCATGTTGATCCTCAAGGTCATGCAGGACGTGCACACGGCCGCGTCGTATTACCGGGGTATATTCTCGGAGGCGATCCGCCATCTATCATCCACAGCGAGTAAGCCAACCGGGCAGGGACCGGTTGTGGTCGAGACGCCGGCGTCTATCCCAGGCGAACCCACAATGGAGACGCTGCTCAGCGGTGATTTTCTGGACGGGTTGATGGACGAGGCTTCGTTTTTCAATTTCTGGGAGCCACTCAGTAATATGTGATCGGAAGACACAATGCATCTATCTTTGTTCTAGAAGTCTATATAGTCTATATACAATGCTCAGCTACATACGAATGCTACGCATCCGACTTGTGAGGCCACTTGACCCTCCTCTCAGCCCTCACATACAGATTATTCGGTCGAATCAACTGAAACATCGGGTCATACTCAATCGGACCATCCCCCTCCCGCGTAAACTTATACCGGTAGATCAACTTGGGCAGGAAGACCTTGATCTCCTGCAGCGCGAAATTGAACCCGATGCACATGCGCGGGCCCATCGCAAAGGGGATATACGCCGCCTTGTGCCGCTGCTTCACCTCGTCCGTGTCCCACCGGTCTGGGTTGAAGCGCGCGGGGTTATCCCAGATGGCGGGGTTATTGTGGATGTGATGCAGGGCGGGGATGACGACTGCGTCTTGGGGGATTTTGTATCCACCTGGTAGGATCAAGTCGAGCTTTGCGTTGCGGCCGGGCTGGAAGGAGGGGTTGTGCCGGCGCTGCGTTTCCTTGATGTATTTGTCTAGGAAGGTGAGTTTGTCGGTGAAGTCGGCTGTGATCTCTGTGTTGTCGTCGAAGCCATGGTCAACGAGTTCCTGGAGCAGACGGTCCTGCATGCCGGGGTAGGTGACCAGGCCGTAGATAAGCCAGGAGAGGAGGGAGCTAGTCGTCGTGAAGCCGGCACCGGTGGCTACGACGAGGGCCCAGACGAGGCTGGACTTGGGAAGTTTCTCGCCTTTGTTGTCTGTCGCGCGGATGGCATAGTCTATTGCTGTTAGCAGCGCTCGCTCAAGCGGCGGGTGTACTATACTCACCAACCATGTTCGCCGCTCGCAGCGCGGCATCCTGCAAGGGCAAATCCTCGACGCCTCCCCGCTGCGCATTCTGCACCGACTCCTCGACCAGCTGCTCGATGCGCGCCTTAGTGTCCTTCAGACGCTTGGGATCCCCAAACGGCAGACTCGCGTACCAGTCCCCCTTCGACGTGACCTTCTTGTTCAGCGACAGCACCTCCGCGATCAAGTGCACCATCTCATGGATCGGCGCATCCGCCGAAGAGAAGTGCTCAAAGTCCAGCCCTAGCGTCAGTTTGCCCACCGCCTGAGACCCCAGCTTCAGCATGTACTGGTACACGTTCCAGGCCTCGCCCTTCTCATCTAGCTGATCGAATATGGTGCATGCATCCTCGACGGTCTTCTGCATGGTGGGCGCGTAGTGCCGGACGGCCTTGGGACCTAATGCCGGCGGGAGGAATTTGTGCGCAACCCGCCATTCGGGGGTGTCTGTGTCTCCTAGGAAAACGCCAGCGGAGGGGGTCTTGAGCGAGTACAGCGGGTGCGCCTCGTTGATTTTCTTGGTGAAGAAGTCGGATTCGTTGAGGACGATGGCGGAGAGGACGGGGTCGTTTGTCTGGTAGACTGTGCGGCCGAGAGTGTTGGTCTTGATCAGGGGGCCGTACTGCTCGAAGAGACGCTGGTGGTTGCCCAGGTGGTCTGGGAAGATCTGGAAGAAGTTGCCGAAGAAGGGGAGGCCGTTGGGCGAGGGGGCGTCCCGGACGGCGTGGCCGTCGATCGTGATGGCGACGGGAGTTGTGGATGAGATAATCTCATTGATATCCGTGAGGCATATGTCTTGTCCGGAGAATTCGATCCCTAGGAGAGTCAGTGCCGTCAGCAAACATCGGAGTTAGACTTACCACTCGGTTCGACAATGGCGAAGTGAGATGCAATCAGGTGCCTCAAGCCCTCAAGATCATTGGTGCCGTCAAGCGAGATTGTCCGCGCTGACGAGGTCGATTCACCCAGAAGGTAAAACTGTTGTGATGGCATTTTGGTAGCACCTCTTTAGGTTTGGTCGTTCACTGACAGTGCGGACAAGTCCTCTGATCTCGTTGACAGCTTATATACAAGTATTCGACAGCCGGACATGAAATTACTCACGGATAACCAGACAGTACCTGTATACTCGGCCGGCATGCCGCGGACGCAGTTATGGAACTGACATTCCGATTGGATACATTACCTCGGTATTCATCAGATCGCTCCACTGATCTTCTTGCCTTAATTTCCGGTGACAATGACAGGCACGTTCTCGGTCGATGGCCAATAGGATGAATAGGAGGGAAATAAAGTAGGAGATAGCGAGAACAAAGTAATTTCCAGCCGAATAGCCGTTGCCGAAATGGATGAGGCGAAGCCGAGAAATGCGATATAATGCACGCACTATATTATTCCTCTCAGCCCGTCTAGAAACCCTATTGAGTGCTTGAAACGAAGAAGTCCCTTTTCCATACTACCACAGAGCATTCATAATGTCTGAATTAACGGTCGAAAATGTCGCAGGCCACAAAACCCGTGATGATCTCTGGGTGATCATTCACGGCAAAGGTACGTCCATGCTCCCGGGCTCTATTGGTCTGTCCGGCAGTGCTAACTTGCCTAGTTTACGATCTCACCAAGTACATTCGGGATCATCCAGGCGGTGCAGATGTGCTGCTGGATGTTGCCGGTACTGATGCGACCTCCGCATACGAGGACGTTGGACACTCAGAGGATGCGGACGAAATCATGCAGACCTACCTGGTGGGAACGTTGAAAGACGCAACGCAGTTTGTGCGCAAGTCAGCCGTGCGTGTTATTCAACCGACCTCCCTGCCAGTAGGAGAAAGCAACAGCTCGTCTCGGGTTCGCAAAGTTGCTGCTGCGGGCTCAGTGGCCGGATTCCTGAGCCTGTTATACTACGTCTCTCCTCGGCGTGGACCCTCGCAACTCCCGCACGCTCTTCAACACATACAATCATATCTGCCCGATCTGCACCGCCTGTTGCCGTCAGCCATGACCGGCATTCGCCTGCCACACGGGGGTTTCGTCAATGGATTCGCAGCCGCAGCCCTGCTCTCCGCAATTATCACTGGCGTCGTTGGAGTCAAACTCTCGAAACTGACGCAGATCGACTCCGGCTTTACTCGATACCCACCTCGCATCAAGAGCAAGCCGAGCCCTAAGGCAGATCCTCACAGCATTCCCGGCTTCCTCAATCCCAAAGACTACAAGACGCTCCCTCTCGTGCAGAAAGACCTCCTAGCGCCCAACGTCTACCGATTCGTCTTCCAGCTGCCATCCGCAACAGATATCGTCGGCCTCCCAGTTGGCCAGCACGTCGCCATAAAAGCTGTCGTCAACGGCCAATCCGTTTCCCGATCCTACACACCAACCTCCAACAACCTCGACCGCGGCTACCTGGAGCTAGTCATCAAATGCTACCCCGACGGCCTCCTAACAGGCCAGTACCTCGCCAACCTGCAAGTCGGCGAGAAAGTGCACTTCCGCGGCCCCAAAGGCGCAATGAAGTACAGGCGCAACCTGTGCAGGAAGATCGGCATGATCGCAGGCGGCACGGGTATCACGCCCATGTACCAGCTCATCCGGGCCATCTGCGAAGATGACAGAGACACCACCGAGATCAGCTTGGTGTATGCCAACCGCAGCGTGGGAGATATTCTGCTCCGCGAGGAACTGGAGGCGTTTGCGCGCAGGTACCCGAAGCAGTTCCGGATCTACTATATGCTTGATATTGCCCCGGAGAATTGGAGGTATGGCACGGGGTATGTGACGCCTGAGGTGATGGCGGCCAGGCTGCCTAAGCCGGCGGCTGATACGAAGATCTTCCTATGTGGGCCGCCGGGGATGATCAATGCTGCGAAGAAGGGGCTTGTCTCGCTGGGCTTCGAGGCGCCAAGTGCTGTGGGCAAAATGACGGATCAGATTTTTTGTTTTTAGTTTATATTTGTTGGTGGCTGTCTGCATGTGTATAATAGAGAATAAATAGTTTGTCTTTTGCAGCATTAGAACTTGGTTATTTTTCAGTGTGTGCTACACTGAGCTTCGCTATGGTATGCTCTTGAAACCATATTTACATAACGTTTAAAGTCATTGTTGGAATTCATTCATTTGGCACAAGTACACAAAAGACACGCTGAATATACCTACCCAATATCTTTAATATTGGCCATGACATACGCTGGGATGCTGAAGATGGATTTGGGATTCTCTGCGATTATCATGGATCAGTTCGACGACGACTTCCAGAACTCCGGGACAACGGCAAAAGTACTTGATTTATTCACAGAGTGGATACTATGAGGAGACGCAATATATGGCTCATCCCCACGTTGTTATTCAGAGACTCTGTTTCGTCAAGCTTTCCAGCCCCATAGACAGCCTCATCGGCATGCCGAGTGCCGCGGCAATCTAGCCAATCGATTTGGAAGCTTATATCAGGGATACTATTCCTTGGATCGTCCAACCGGATTGCTATTATTGTCTCTCGGAATGCGTAACAAGGGACTAAATTGCGTCTCGTGCAGATCCCGCGGCTGCGGACAGTTCTCAATCTGCAGAATGGATACCGTCCGGCATGCCATCTCGAAATCTGTCAGTATTCGTCATGCTGGGAGATATGCCTGTGGCCGCTGGGTCCGGACATAAATGCCTTGACTTCTGTTCTTCTGTATACCTTCTTCTACCAAACCCATGTGAATGTTACTCTCTCACCTACACTTCCAAATCAAGCTTAGCATCTTATATACCATCTTCTTCAGCCTGGCAGATAGCTTCATCTTAGATAGTTTAATAATTAAGTTATATTATTATTCTATTATATTCTTATAGGTTATAAGCCCTTATAGCTTATTATAAAATAACTTTTATTATCTTCTCTATTCCCTACTTCTATAGTTAATTTAAATACATTCTATATACTTATTCTTATTAGTTAGATTAAAATTCTAGCTTTATAGATCTATACTACTCCTCCTTTCTTTTATAGTAATTCTTCTGTAGAATCTAGCCTAATCTATTAAATTAAAAGCCTCTAAGGTCCTTATTTCCTTCCTTAATTAAACTCTATATATTAAATTTAGCTAATTATAATAGATATTAATATAAAGCTACATAAGGTTGTTCCTACCCTTAAGGGTGAATCTAACTAGTTAATCTAGATAGAAGTACTCTAGGGATATCTTTATAGTAGGAATACTAATTACTAGAAGCTTCTAAAGTATAAATATATAGCTCCTACTTAGCCTATACTATATAATATTACCTATAAATATATATACTAAAGTCTTATTTATAAATATAAGAAGTAACTAGCTTAAGAATAAGCTACTAGAGGCCTCTTAGCTTTTATAATAATAAATACTATAGGGGGCCCCCTAGCTCCTATAATAGCTAGTACTACTAGCTCCTTAGCTTCTATAATAGCTACTATAGGCCCTTTCTAATAGATAATAGCTATTATAGCCTTAAGTTAACTAATAGTAATAGTGTCACGGGCTAGAAGCCTTATAAATCTATGACCTAGATTTGGACAGTAAGAAATCACTGAAGGGTTCTAACTAGGGCTGTGATGGCTGAACATAAAAAGGAGTATATAAATGGTGGATGAGATCATGTAACTAGATTAATTACTATATTAATTACTATAAGGGTCATATAACTACTAGTATCCTTACTAGATAAGAGTTTATTAGTACCTAAGGTAGATTATAAGTGCCTAGTAGGCTTAAGTACTTAGCAGACCCTACCTACTATACTACCCCCCTCCCCTCCTAAAGGAGGTTAGCAGCTCTCCTATATATTAAGTACTACTATATTAGTAAGGTTAATAGCTAGTTCCTATATAGGCTGCTTATAGCCTACCTATTTAATAAGATACTCTTTATAATAGCCTTAGCTAATCTATTTCTTATATTCCTATAAGATCTCCTTAACTATGTACTCTAATTTACTATCTACTAGAGTTACTAGCAGCTAATAATTACTATTTAACTAGCTTAGGAATAGATTACTAGTAGTAGGGTGTAGTAGACTAATATAGAATATATTATATATACCTAGTAGTATATCTAATTAGTAAGTATATAATCTAATAGCTTTAAATACTATAAACTTTATATACTATATATTAAGCTTCTAGCTTAGGTAATTTATTTAAATATTCTATAGGTTTAACTATACTTTTAATTTTATAGTATATTATAGGGCTACTAAGTAGGAGTAGTTTAAATACTCTTCCTAATACTACTAGGCTATAGTTAGTTCTAACTATACTATATTAATAGCTTCCCTTATCTTTATTATAATTACTTTAGCTTTTACCTTTAGTAAATAGGCTATATAGGTAGTAGCTACCTTATAGTCTAGCTCTTTAATCTCTAGTAGCTTAATATTATATTTATAGTCTAGGAAGAATAGGCTAACTTCTATACTTATAATATCTTAGCTATTAATTACTAATTAGGCTATTAGTAGTAATGATTTCTAATTAGTCTAAGTATAGTTATAGAAGTTCCTAAGATAGGCCTTTAATATTATATTTATTTACTTAATCTACCCATCTGTCTATGGGTGGAAGGCTATTAAAAGGTGTTATTAGATACCTAGTTATTTATAGAAGTAGTCCTAGAACTAACTAATAAACTATAGACTATAGTCTGATATAATTATACTAGGAATGCTATAATATCTAATAAACTAATTAATTAGTAGTTAGATAACTATCTTAGAGTCTATTTACTTATAGGGCACTAAGATTATACTCTTTCTAAGCCTATTACTAATTACTATAATATTCTTATAGCTATTAGAAGTAGGCAGCTTTATAATAAAGTTAATAGTAATCTTATATTACTTATAATCTAGGATTAGTAATAGCTTAAGTAATCCCTAATACTATTTATACTATATATAGTTAGTACTATACTTATTATAGTTCTATATAAATTATTAAATATCTATAGAGAGCTCTGGCTAGTAGAAGTTTTAGA